CTATCTATCTATCTATCTATCTATCTATCTATCTATCTATCTATCTATCTATCTAGACATACATAGGGCGATGGATGACTTGGGGAAGAATAGAAACAACTTACCTACTGTTGCTTGGAACAAAAGAACCGTTATTGTTGAGACTGTCATAGACCACATCATGCTTGACATCTTGGCCAGTGGCATTCTGAAATTTGAAGAAAAAACCCAGTGTTCTTCTATCTCTACGTTTGAGTAGCGAAACGCCTTGCCTTACTATTTCCATGTACTTTATCCCCCCCCTCCCCATACATACACGCCACCACCACGGCCACCACCTCACCCTTTTAGCTGCAAGTCTTTCAAAAATCAGACTTATAAGCATAATAGCATCAGGTCAGTTTGTTTCTGCCCCCACCCCTTCACCTTCTTCGACCCCTCCTCTGGGCTTATGATTCTTTCTGCAGCCTTTCTACTGCTACTCCTTGTCTCTCAGCCACACCCCTGATCTTATGGTAGGTGAGATCTACACTTAGCCTTCTCGGATAAGGGCAAAAAATCTCGGAGGTCCTGAGTGCAAGTTGCGCACGTTAAAGATCCCTTGGTGATCCAAAACGATAAGAGAAGGTTTCGCCCGTCACTAGGGCAAAATTCAAAATTTCCTACCAACCGAAAAGGATTAATGTGTCCCACGCGCTCATATGACCTTATGTAGTTGCGAGCGCCGTAAAACACTTACCGAAAAAAAGGTTAGTTTGAAACACTTCAACTGAGCATTTTCTCCAAGAACATTTACGCAGACACACAGACAAACCCAAACAATAAATGCGATATGTACTTAAGTAGAAAAGTATATAAATCAATTATAGATTTAGGCCTACTTGAAAGAATGAAGAAAGAGATTACAATAATGTGCAGTTTACATATAAAATAGTCATAGGCAAACCTGCCCTGTACTAATGAAAACTTTACCCCCGACCCTTTGAACTAAAAGAAGAACCCTTCTCATCATCCAGCGTCAGATTTGCGGCAGACATCGGTGATGATGGTTCTCCATTCATTCCTTTGCTCGGATGTTCTTAAAAAAGCCACCTTTCCCTGATCTTTCAACGTTACCGCGTTGTTTAGGTTCCCTAGCATTTCAGAACTTTCATTTTGGAAGTTATTGAGATGTTTCTATTTTTCAGGATTGGGCTCATTTTTATTGAAACTAGCCTTAGCCTTTGCAATTCTCCGTTTTATTTCTGTGGAACATTTGGCATTCGATGTTATTATATATCCTAGATGTTTAAACTGTTGAACTTGTTTGATCTTTTCGCCTTTGCTAATGAGATTACAAATAAGATTTGCTGCTTTTTTTGCGTATTATCATGCATTCTGTTTTCTTTACATTCAACAATAATCCGTTACGTTCACTTTCTGTTACAACAGTATCTAGAAGCGATTGAAGGTCCTTTTCTAAGTCTGTGTCATCGGCATATCTGGTGCGATTAATAGATAGTACAAAAGGAAAATACATTGTTATCAACTAAGCTTGATTATAATTTTGTTTACCAGAATGCATCACTGTTCTTCTTAGACTGCGTCTAATCATTTTTTTGTAATCATATACAGGAAAGAGGGGGGGGTCGGGATGTTGCTTCTAACTGTGATGCCATGCTACAGATTTCCACCTCTTGCGTATAAGAGACTTGTGTTCGATGGCTACGTGGAAAAATCTTGATCGCCTATTCTTGTATTTTTATTGAGACTTACTAAAGTCAACCTGGGTTAGTCCTGAAAGGCCGATTCGAAGCAGGGCGCCCTCTAAACGATGGCTTTTAGTGTCGATGGGTTCGTAAATCGTTTATAGCGATATAATTTCTGTTCGTTATCTCACTCTTCTCTCTCGAGACACTAGTCATTGTGAAAGTATATCACCAAAGAGAATCTTTGTTTTGTTTTTAGTAAAGTTTTACGGCGCTCGAAACTGCATAAGGTCATATGAACGCCAAGGAGTGGGTGCTAACAGAGAAGTCTCAACAGCGCAAAGTCTACTTCGACTAAAAAGGCACCCTTGAAATAGCAGTTCACAAGCGAGTGACAAACATACAAAAGAAATAGAGAAAAATGACGACAGTAAGGATGTTGAAAGAAAAAGCAGCAATTCTTCCTATGATGTTCCGCACTGCATGAGCATGACATATTGATAAATCAGCCAATCTACAGTTTTACTGTGCATAAGATTATTTAAATATCCCCCGTTTGGGAGAGTCTTTGATGTCACTATACGCCTTCTCACCTTGCCACATCCCCTCTGATCGCCTTCCTAACCCCACAAATGCATCTATAACGTCATCTTGCTTACAGGATCTAGATATAGGCCCATAGATAGACACAATATCTCCCAGGAAACACCACATTGTCGACAATCAAAACCGGAGGTGTTTAATGAGGACACAACACAACAGGTAAAAACTAAATATTACAAGGTAGAACAAAAATATGCTTTTTAGAAACAAGTAAGCGAAATAAATACTAAGCTCAAACTACCGTTCAAAGAAAAACTCAAGAAAAGAAAGTTCTTGTTCAAAAGACGTAGAGGGGAGGATTCGTATGCCCCCCCCCAAAAAACAAACAAAAAACAAACCAAAAAAAAACAACAATCAGAAGAAAGCAAGAGTTGGCTAACAACAAACTTTCACAGGAAAGACAAATTTTACAAGATCCCTGATTGTTAAATTTTCCTGCACAATTGAAAATTAAAAAGATAGTACCTACTTATGTGTGCCAATCACTGTCAACAAATGAAAAAGACAAGATGGCTTCTTTATTATTTTATAACTATTCTTCCTGTCTTTTTTTGCTTGTAACGAGCGAGCAAGAAATAACCTTTATGATATTGTCAATGTGCGGCACTTTAACTCAAATACCTCAGAAAACTAAGTCAAACAACAAGTACAAACTTCTACCATCACCTCAACCACAACAAACACACCAACAGCTCAAGAGTGGTCTTAATCCAAATCCACGAAAAGAAAGACACCAGCTCCAAAATGTTCAGCACAATCGTTAGAGAGACTGTCCCTTCGGCTTCAGAGAGGTTCACATATTCACTTCATTCGCACTCCTACGATACATAAACAATGAAGCTAACACTAACACAGCACGTCGCAATATACATGTAGCAGGGAGGTATTAAATTAATATTATGCGCCAGAGATAGACATCAGAGATGTAGGCTTCTTTCGACGTACATGTATAATAATTATACAGTCGAACCTTCCCTAACGGCCGCAGGTATAAGACAATTACCTGTACAAACAGCCACAGGTATAAGACAATCACCTGTACAAACGGCCACTATACTTGTATAAGACAATCACCTGTACAAACGGCCACAGGTATAAGACAATCACCTGTACAAACGGACACTATACTTGTATCAGACAATCACCTGTACAAACGGCCACAGGTATAAGACAATCACCTGTACAAACGGACACTATACTTGTATAAGACAATCACCTGTCCTAACGGCCACCTGTATAAGACAATTACCTGTACAAACAGCCACGTGTATAAGACAATCAACTGTACAATTGGCCACTTGTATAAGACAATCACCTGTACAAACGGCCATCTGTATAAGACGATCACCTGTACAAACGGTCACCTGTATAAGACAAGCACCTTTGCAAACGGCCACGTGTATAAGTCAATCAACTGTACAAACGGCCACTGCTATATAAGACAATCATCTGTACAAATGGCCACAGGTATAAGACAATCACCTGCCCTAACGGCCACATGTATAAGACAATCACCTGTACAAACGACAACTTCCTATTTTCTCTCACGTGTATTTTTAAAAACCTTATGCTGACGCTATGTAAGGCATCCACCTATCTAAGTCTTAGACAACCACTTCTCTCCTCGACAATGGATGACCGTCTTAGACAGTTCCTACATATTATAATAGACTAGGCCTACAGACTAAGTAGTAATGAAAACCCTGCTATATGTGCGCCCACACCTGCCCACACCTTTGTCTAACAGGTCTCCCTCCTCTGTCACAGGGGCTGAGCTGACAGCCTTAAGAAGAAGGCGGAGCCAACGGGATATTTTGTTGATGATAACGGTAATGGGTATTAAAGTATATCGCTCGCCCAGCAACAGAGGATTTTTTTTCCAGAAAGAGGGAGCAGCCAGGTCACATTACATGTACTTATTTTGCTTTTCTGAATTTTTTAAACCAGAATTCGTTTGCTTCGTTAGTTTCTGCGTTTTCCGCGTCGCATTTTCATCTCCATCACCCCGACCCATGCTACCGTGAGCATTGACACGGCCACCCCCCCCCCTCTTTCCCCGTCGCAACAAAAGAATCTAGTCAAATACCACAATAACAACAGCAAGAAGAAGTAGGAGAAGAACAAGAAAAAGAACAAGGACAGCAACAACATTAACAACAACAACAACCACAACAGCAACAACAACAACAGCAACAACAACAACAACAACAGCAACAACAATAAAAGCAACAAATAGTTAAACTACAACCAAATAAACAGGACAGAAATAAGCGATAAAAAGAACAAACAAATATAAACAACAAACAAACAAACAAACAAACAAACAAACAAAAACCTTACCAAAAATGTCTCACCGTCCTGGTAACCTCACACACACACACACACACACACACACACACACACACACACACATTGTACTCCATCACCACTGCCTCACACACACACACACATTGTACTCCATCACCACTGCCTCACACACAAACATTAGTCGCGTCTTCTCACCTGCTTAGTACTCTAACCCCTGAGGACAGGCTAAGGATAGGTAGATCTCGCCTGTGTGTTAACTCAGAGCATGGTTGAAAAAGTCTGGATGTAACACGAACCTTGTTTTACATATGTTTCGGTAGTGCTCTCTGTCTCTCTCTGTCTCTGTCTCTGTCTGTCTCTCTGTCTCTGTCTCTCTGTCTCTCTCTGTCTCTCTGTCTCTCTGTCTCTGTCTCTCTCTCTCTGTCTCTCTCTCTCTCTCTCTCTGTATTTCTCTCTGCTCTACCTCCCATCTCTCTCTTTCTTATTCTACCCCCCTCTCTCTTTCTCTCTCTCTCTCTCTCTCTCTCTCTCTCTCTCTCTCTCTCTCTCTATGTTTGCCCCCCCCCCACCTCCATTTCTGTCTTAATTCTTTCTCTTCCCCGTTGTGGTATGTACCAGTCGTGTGTGTGTGTTTGTGTGTGTATGCGTGTATGTACGCGCGCGCGCGCGCGTGTGTGTGTGTATGTGCG